GAGGGTTTGCAGGGCTGTCCTGGGGCCGTCACCCGCCGGCGTGCCAGCATGGTCTCGCAGTAGCGGTGTGCGGCGAGTGAAGGTGTCCGGGGGTGGTCCACATGCTGCCGCAGGAACTGAGGGTTTGCAGGGCTGTCCTGGGGCCGTCACCCGCCGGCGTGCCAGCATGGTCTCGCAGTAGCGGTGTGCGGCGAGTGAAGGTGTCCGGGGGTGGTCCACATGCTGCCGCAGGAACTTCTCATAGCGGCTCTCACCCACCGCCCCTGCTAGTGCTGCCAGCACCAGGACTGTGCATAGCGCCCAGCCTGCCATGGGCACCTGCGGAAAGCGGGGTCAGGGCCGTCTGGATGTCTGGGCCCCCAGTTGGAAACCCCCCCCTGGACACTCAATTTCTCTACAAATTCCCCCTCCCAGACACCTGGGTCCCTTACAAATCCCCCCTAAACACATTGGGACCCCGCCCCTGACACGTGGGCCATCTGTTAAGTCCCATCTGGATGCCCGAGTCCCCTACAGAACAGCCCACAGACAGCCCTACAGTTCTGCACCCCCCAGAAGCCTGGGTCCCCTATGGAACACCCCCCTGGATTCCCTACAGATCCACTCCCTGCCCCAACACCTGGATCCCCTACATATCCTCCTTCCCCCACTGCACGCTTGGGTTCCCCACGGTCCCCTCCCGCAGACGCTCTGCTCCTCTCCACGTCCCTCACCTGCACCTGTGCGTGTGCCTCAGTTTCCCTTATGGCCTCAGGGTCTCCAGGATCCCTCCCACTCCTCTGTGGCTCTTTTATACTGGCCCCAGCCAGGCCCAATGGGCCAGGATCCAGGAGGAGGGGCAGGACAAAGAGCAAGGTCCAGCGGGTGCGTGGGGGGATCCAGGTGTCCAGGCAGCCCCGCTCCCCCTCACAGCCCCCCAAGGTCATTAGGCAGTCATTAACAAGACAGGTGACTGGCTGTGCACGTTCCCTGGGTGTCCCCATGCCCATGCTGCTTGGCCCATGAATTCTGGCCTGGGACACATGTCCCATGAGGAGCAGGACCCTGGGGTCCCCTGGGGTGGCAGGGCAAGACACCTGGATCCGTGGTGGTGGGACAGGACACCAGCATCACCTCTGGGGCAGCTGACAGGCGCTCCTGCCCCTCTCGGATGAGGCGGTATGTCCGTGGCGATGTGTCCCTTCCTCTGCGTCCCCTCACAGGCGAGCTGGTACCCCGGGAGGTGCCGGGATGCGTCCTGACCCACTGCCACCTCGCGTGCTCCCGGCTGCTGCACTGAGGAAGGGACAAAGGGCCAGGGGCCAGCCTGAGCCCATCAAAAACCCAAC